GTTGAGTTAGGGGAGGGGTAGGTGGGCAGTTGCCCAGATACTGATATCGATCCCGACATCGTTTCAGTTAAAGTGGAAGCTGATCATGACTTTATCTGCCCAGCAAACCCTCAGGTTTCATAGACAGGTTACCAGCGCCAATGTATGTTCTTGGTCAGAGAGAATCAGTAGGAGAGCTGCCTTGTCTTTCAAACGAAAAACAAAGTGAACTTGGCAAAGCTCGAGCCTCCTTCCCCACTCCCTCTCTTAAACTTATATTTCATATTTTCTAGAGCTTCCCAACGACTCTCGCCCGAGCCAAAATCCCAGACTGCATGTAATTGCTATTAGCAATATCATATTATTATCACTATTCGGATGCCTGCGAAAGCTCACTTTGTTAGTAAGAGAAGGTGACCGTTTTCACACAATAGCCCTAGATGATCTCCTTCTAGCTTCCTGCCGTACCAGATTATCGAACGACGAGGAAGTAAAATCAGAGCTAAAATATGGTGCCAGTTGTTAGGTAAGTAATACGGCAGTTAGTGATTGGGGCAGGCAACATCTCGCATTTCACTTTGAAAAAAGGACTCGGGGAGAGAAAAGTGCTTTTTGTTGAACACCGCTGGATATGCTTGAGTCCTTGTTTCTCATTTCCAGTCTCGCTCCTGTATTTCGCGAAATATTTTGCTTCGATTTGCGTGAACGCCGTATTTATTTTCGCAGAATTAAGCTGCGTCTGTTTAAAGCCAGGACTTCGCACTATAGTTTTACCAGAGAAAAAAACTTCGTTGTAATGGATGGAACGGTCGAACACGAAGAAGAACAAGAACCGACTTGCGATCACTTAAACTCAAATGAACAGATTTCGATTAGCCATGATGATACAAGAAATGTGGCAGTAAGCAGTGTCCCATTGACAGAGAAGTTGGCCTTAATCATGGAATCAGAAGAGGGAATACAGAATCTAGAGGCTGTACTGCAAACATTTCGGAGTACAGATGAAAATCTAAGGAACTTACACGACAACGTGGAATCGAAAACGATAGCGGAAGTGGGAATGATTTCGCCACAAGATGACGTGTCCTCTTTGACAGCCACAACAAACATTACTTTCTACGACTTTAATTTTCAGCCTCGCAGTATTTCGTTGCGACACCAGAAATCAGCCAAAGTAAACTTCAATGTAAAGAAATGTGAAAACGTAGTAGTGGGCGATCGCGCGGAAGTGAACATCTGCTGTGACAAAGATCTGTTTAATCAGAATAATAGGTCAAATTCAACCTCTTCCCGATCGAATGAAAGCGATTCTCTCTTGCAAGCCGATGGAGGTATCAGAAACCCGGTCTATTCGCCAGGAAAACAACGGAGGAAGCGATCTTCACAGAAGAAAAGTGGCAAAAATCATGCTTTGAAAAAGAATTCTTCAAGAAAAATGAAAGCAGAATGGCAATTTCCTTTGCGTTTGTCAGATTTTACAGACAATGAGAGACAGGAGAAAGATATTGATCAGTGGCTCAAACAACTTATACCGTCCTTGCTTCCCAAAATACAAGACCTGGATGATTTCGAGTCGGTAATAGAGCCTATGGAAGAAGATGGCCGAAGACTTCGAGAAAGTTCAATTCCAAACTGCATTGAAAAACTTGATTACACCGTTCGAACAGCACTGATGATGTCGCTGATGGAAGAGGAAGACAAGAAAAAATTCCAGACCCTGAAAATTGAACTGCAGTTTGCATTAGCAGAGTTTTACATCAAGGAAGATTATCTTGAAGCTTTAAACTGTTTGAGAGCACTGGAGAGAGATCTCACACTGCGTGAAGGATTCGAAAGTCAAAAAGGCAGACTCTACGCCAAAATAGCCAAAGTTATGGAACTTTGCTTAGAATTTTCCAAAGATTTTACCACCGTTGAAAACGAACTTGAAATTGCTCCTGAAACCCAGCTTACTGACCAAAACCCAGACGATGTGGTGTTGAGTTACTTTCAGAGAGCTTTAGAGTCGAGCAACAATGAGGCTCTACTTCAAATATCTTGTTATTTAGGAAAGGCATCTGTCTTATTGAAATGCTGCAAGGGAAAAAATGAAAACAGAAATTTGACACAGGTGCGAGAGAATTTGAGATCAGTAGAAATCCTCTTCAAT